AATGGACTCTAATTTGGGCAATAATATCCCACTTTAAATAGAGCTATAAAAAATTGGCTTCATTTAGCGGTCTTTAAACTTTGTGGGCAAGGAAAATTTTTAATTTAGAGTTTGTGGGTGAGAATCATGTTGCACTTGCTTGCATTTTTTGAATAATGGGCTTTTTTCTTAGAAAACTTCTACCTAAATTTTGCCGTACTTTTCGATATGTATTTGAAAAGAAGCAGTCAGCTAAGATGCCAAAAAACCGCCGATCTAAACTTTTTGCTACAAAATGTTATTAAAGCAGTGCTCTCTGAAGAATATTACACCGACTTCAAGGAAAGAGAAAGAAGTATATGCAAGTAAATAGATGAAAAATGCATTTTTGCATTTTTTGTTCGAACCTTTTCAGATTCAAAATCAGCGACCTCAAGAACCCCGCCTTTATATGAGTTTGTGGTAAGCAGGAGAAAATTATAAAATTTGGTCGCCATATTGGATCCACCATTTTGAATTTAAAAAATCTGACATCAGATTCGAAATCAGCGACAACAAAAACCCCCAAATACCGAGTTTCAAATCAATTTGGTTACTTCTGGACTATTGGCCATCAATAGTAGTCGCCAAACCATAGTGCATTGCTTGAATTCCGGCAACAAGTACCAGATAAAAAAAAAAAAAACACCTGTTGAAAACAGCTGTGTGCCGTAATTTTTGGTACAACGTACAACACTAGGCGCACATTGCATCCGATAGGCCGACCGATTTCGGCCGAACTGATGCGCACCCTTAACCAGATTATTTGCCGACCGTATTTGTACGCACAAATCTAGTTTTCATTTCAATTCTATAGGCAGTGAAATATTTTGATAAATTTTAATTGAACATGTGATTTTATAGGTTTTTTTTTTTTGTTTTGCACCCAATAATTTAATTTTTCGCAGTCTATTTTGGTACTTTTCACCTGACATCGGAAGAGAAAAACAAACATGTTTGAATTTATCATCACTGACGGAAGTCAACGGCCGATGTCGGTTCGGTTATCGGTCTACGTGTGAAAGCGCTCATATAATCACAAGTGTTTATTGATATCGCCCGCATATAGCCGATATCGGCCGAGCACAATTCGGCCGATGCCGGCTGCAGTGTGCGCGTAGCGTAAGTGTGAGTCTTTGTACTCTTCACAATTAGTTACATATATTCGCGTACCTGATAATTATTGAAAGTTATAAAAACTACATCGCAAAAAAATATAGAAAAAGGTTTTTTCTTAACAGCGGTCGTCTCTCGGCAGGCAATGGCAAACCACCGAGTGTATTTCTGCCATGAAAAACAGCTTCTCATAAAAATAAAATCGCCGTTCGGAGTCGGCGTAAAACTGTAGGTCCCTCCGCTTTGTGTGGCAAGATCAAGGCGCACGCCACAAGTCGGAGGAGAAGCTCGGCCAAACACTAACATATGTGTAAGCGCCAATCTATTATTATTATTATTATAAAAACTACCAGCTTTTTGTGTTCGCGTACGCAAACAACTTGCAAAGTAGGGGAAATTGAGAGTGCAAAATGACATTTCATTTTGAGGGAAAGCTGCTAGTTTCTGCTGGAAAAATTTTAGCCAACAGAAATTTGCCAACAAGAAAACAGCTGGTTGGAATTTACGCAAATCTCTAAATTGAATTTGATGGTTTGGAAGTTAAAATAGTAAAATGCGACTAATTAAACTTGTAAGAAGTAAGTAATTATTCGTTTAGTTAGCGAACTGTGACTGAGACTTCGTGTGTGAGAATTCGGAATTAGTTTTCTTACGTTTTCAAGTGTATACTTTTGAATGTAACCAAAATTTCTCTCAGCTGTTCGTCTAACTTGCAAGTTTCTGCAAATTTTCTGTTCGCGTACTATTTTGGCTATTTTTCTCTTGTGAGAGAACAGATAACATTTCGCCGGAATTTTGCTGTTGGACATCTTATACTGGAGATTTTAAACGAACGCACCTATTGACTTACCAAAATTTAACAGAACTATTACGAACGGATTTAACTGACGTAAAATAGATTTTGAAAATATGGCCAAAGGGATCTTTTTAATTTTCTTTAATATCTATCTTACGTTCATTAGAATAATAGTAAAATTAATGTTTTTCATTTCTAATAATAATTTTATTTACAAATAAAATTTTGTCTTTTGTTTTTTTTTTGTGGCTCTTTGTAGCATTTAGAATTTACATGTAGCTCTTTTCGGCCTCGGCCTTGCCCACCCCTGTAATAACTGCTTGAATTATTTATTTGTTTTATTCTTATCCAAATCTCAAATTTTAAACATTAATTATTACATTTAAAAAACTTTAAAAAGAAAGGACTGAAATGTACAAATTTAATGAATTTAATTTATTTTAATGAAAACTTTTATTTTTGTTTTACTTCACTCATAAATGAACTAAAGTATTCATTTTATTTTTAACTAAAATGTTTTCTTTTACATATTCAATATTATTAAAAAGATAAAAATATAGTATTTATTGTACCTGAAAGCTTTTACTTTTAATATCATTTAATGGAAAATGCATTTAAATTCGAATGTGTGAAATTCTTATGCATTTACTTTTCCTTTTAATTAATACTCAAAAAATGTAACTCTAGTTATTGGCAAATCTAAGGCTGCTATATGAAAATGTGTAATGTATTAAAGTGTACTTAATCAAAAGTTTTTTATTGTATATTCACGAATTCATTTCATTTTTTGACTTCCAAAGTAGTGGTTTTGGCCCATAGTTGGACTAGTATTTTATTTTAGAAGTCTCTACGATCAGTAGAAGCCACCGAGTCCCACAGTTCCCTGCATATAATGATGTGGTCCTGTGGAAAAGCGGCACAACTCAAAGCAAAAAAACCTCAGTCCTGTTAAGGGATGTCTATAATCCTTGTGTAATCCTAACTAAAGTAAGTAGAGCTGTCAAACTATCGACGATACTATCGATAGTATCGATAGTCTGGTCACATGAAATAACTATCGATAGTTCTGGTACTATCGCCACTATCGTTTCATTAATAGCGTATTCTCTTTCCTAGCGCTTTTGACATTTGCACGTATTGGTTCAAAGAGAACAAAACTTGGCAGCATTATTTCATGAACGTACGAATAAAGATCATCCAGGACGGAGCGCGAGAAAAAGTATTTTTTTTGCAGTGACGTAATTTTTTTGCCGCCATGTGAATGAAACGGAATGAAACCATGCGTGTGAATGAAACAGCCGACTAAAAAATGACGTTATCAACTATTATTTTTGTTTCTCAAATGCAATTACAAACACATGGTTGCCGTGCTGGGCGATTTGTTTAGTTGGTTCATGGCATTATTTCTAAAAGCGCCATTTTTTATTTTAAGCGTGGAAATACCAGAAATTACATTGCCGTCTTAAGAGCGTGTCAGACGTGGCAATGCAATATATTTCCGAAAGGCGAAAGGCAGGGAAAATTTCAGAAATCGCTTTTAGACTTTTTACACGGCGAATGAATTTCTAGCAATATTTCTCGATACTAAAATGCAACCGTGAGCCGCTAAAATATACAAATTTATAAAAGCAATATAACGAAAAATAAATGAATTTAGAAAAACATATGAAATGGGTCGATGCTATCGATAGTATCGATAGTCACCCTTAAGACTATCGTAAAACATCGATGGACTTGACTATCGATTGTTTGACAGCTCTAAAAGTAAGATGTATGGATTATTAATGTAAGTTGTAAAGTTTAGACGTGGATTAGACAAAAATTAGCGACATGAGCCCGGATTAAGTTCTTTTTTAGTTGTGGACAAAATTATTTACGGATCGTTTTAAGTTATATTTAAGATGTTGGTTTCCCATATAGCATACGTTTTTTCAGATTGGTTCTTGTGTGGGAATTATTCCGAATTTTGCAAAATGTTTCGGTTGCTGAAATTGGAATCGGTATATTTTCCATCAGCACAGGAAAAATTTATGGACGCTTCGAGTATGCGCAAATGGGAAAAACATAGTCCGGTGTGCTTTTGTTTACGCCTACTGGTGAGTTATATTTTTTAAGAAACAAAGGTGTATTTTAGTTCATTTGTTTTACAGCCATTTTGTTGTAAATCGAACAGTTGTCGTCGTATAATGACTAGGTTCCCCTTGGTTTATAGTAACAAGTCTGGCCTTTAATTTGGTAAAGGCCCCGCAGCTATACAATAACACATATTTGTGAAAAATACGCGAAACAATTTCCATATCTTTTAAGTTAGTAAGATACCCTTTTATAGAAGGTTAGGTTAGGTTATACTGGCAAGCCGAAGCCACGCAGAGACCTTTTTATAGAAATCCTTGAATGAATTTTGTCCACCTATCTTGTTCCACACGATACACTGTGCATCGATATGTACACATACAACACAACTTATAATAAAAATTTTTCTCGGTCTTCTTATAATGTTATATCGATGGCTGAGTGGAAGATCGACCTATCTCGGCAGCCAGTTCGAAAACGCTCTATCTCAAAAAACTTTTCAAGACGCCCTATTTCAGAATTTAATTGAAAAACACCCTATCCCAAAATTCGGTTCAAAAACGCCCTATCTCACTTCAAAATGTATTGAAAATATGCTGATATAGGGCGTTTTTGAATCGGCAGCTGAGATAGGGCGTTTTTGAAACGAATTCTGAAATAGGGCGTTCTTAAAAAGTTTTTTGAGATAGAGCGTTTTCGAACTGGCTGTCGAGATAGGTCGATCTTCCACTCAGCTATCGATATGGAATTATTAGATAAAAATTGTAGGGAATTTTGTGGGGAAACATTTTTAAACGCGTAGGGAAAAGTGGAGATTTTATTTTTGTTGAATGGGAATTCTGCAAAAAAGTATGTACCATCACTGCCGTTTCGTTCAGACGGTTTCGCTCAGACTCACGACGCAATCTTCTCTTCTATCTTTCTTGAAATTTAACGATAAATCGAATTACGATGGATGGATTATGTTAATTTACTGTTATTGTATAGAATTCATTACCTTTATGCGGCATGTCATCGAGCGTCGGTATTCGGTCGATCATGGTGCCCGACCAGGGCGAAATAACGGCGCCCATGGGTGGTGTTGGTTGCAGGGCAAACATTTCGAGTAATTTTAGTTGTTGATGTTGTGTTGCTTGTTGCTGATGTCGATAATATGTATAATGCTGATATTGTTGATTCTGCTCGTATGATTGTGTTCTATATGGCTGTTGCTGCTGCTGTTGTTGCTTATGTTGATAGAGGGTTTGTGCGAAATCGTCATGCGTATAGAAATGATTGTAAAATTTTTGCTCCTGATGCTGTTGCTGATGGTCGGGATGAGATGATACGCCTAGCGGCTGATGCTCATAAATGGATGGCAAGGCTGTTGTGGCAAATTGCCGCTCCTGCTGCTGCTGCTGTTGTTGTTCCAGTTCCAGTTCCTGTCGTAGTTGCTCAGTTTGAGGCGGCGGTGAGTTTGGCTCATGCTGTGTTGTTGCTGTTGAATGTAGTTGTAGATCGAGTTGTTGGTGATTATTGTAATCGCCAACGTCGCCGTCGCCCTCAACAGCGTCAATGGTTGTTATATTGGAGCGGGCCGTAAGCTTAACGACGGCGAACGCGTTATCCACTTTACAGGAAATTTTGCAAATTTGTATACAAATTAGTACAGTTACAGTTTTTCTTCACTTAGTTTTTGCACTTCACTGAAGGTCGAATTGAATTGTAAATTAATCAGCTTTTGCTGCTTTTTTGTGTGTCTGAATTCTTAATTGGCAGGAGCTTTTGTTGGGGCTAAACAACGAAATCACACAGGTTAGATACTGAAGTATGCACATTATTTGTTTGAGAAATTAGTTGTATATATTTTTTGATGTAATGATTTTTTCTCAAGTTCTTGTATGCCTGTATGCGCATATGGGTATGTAGATATTTTAATTAATTTTTGTATGCATGTAGCTAGGTAGGTAGGTATAAAAAATAGCGCAATTGTTCTATTTCGCAGAATCTCTTTTTTACAAATCGCTTAATTACATATACCCTCACTTCTTTACTATTTTTTTAATTTTTTAAAGAAGTGAAATATTAAAGCTATTTTAAACTAGCTCAGATAAACATAATTATTGGGTGGCCACGCCCAGGCCCACATATCATAAAATGGTACAGCGCACAGGTGTTTAGTTTAGAGTTCTATTTGAATTAAAAAAATCCAAGGGGCCGCCAAAACCCATGCGCCCTTAGTCCTTCTAGATTTTGTCATTTGCGCCGCCATCTTAGTATGTAAATCTATTCACAGAAAACTAAAGAGCGTGATATTAAACTTAAATTTGAGTTAAAATTAAGAAAATAATATTATTGAAAATGTCTAGGAATTAGCACACAATCTATTTAGCAACCAATCAAGTCACAGGCAACCAAGAGTCTGCGATGTCCCAACAAATTATTTTGATTACAAAAAAATTATACCAATCATAAATGGGTTTTCTGGGAGTCTTTTTAACAAAAAATAATTTATGCACTGGCAAAACCAAAGCTGGAAAATAATTTAGCCAAATATACCAAATTTTACTATGAAATCACAATTTTTAAGATGCACGCGAAGGCGAAGGAACACATAAAATATTAACGGTTTCCTTTGATTCGGCATATAAAATAAAAACCCGTGCTATCATTCACTTTCACATACTTTCATTTTGAAAGAAAAATAATGATTTTGCCACCACAAAAATGTAGATAGTTAAACTCTGCATTAAGTAGTTTGGTTTTTATTTGTCTTTGAAAACGGTAAATACTAATTTCTTTAACTCATTGGATAAAAAAAATATCTTGGCCTTGAACTTCAAATTTGACACACATGTTAAATGATTGAAAATACATTTGCGGTCATAAAAATTTATCCTTACTTAATATTATTATATTATATATTATTATTATTATTATTATTTTTATTATTATTATTATTATTATTATTGCTATTATTATTATTATTATTATTATTATTATTATTATTATTATTATTATTATTATATATAATAAATCCGAAAGTAAGTTTGTTTGTTTGCTACGCTTTCACGCTTTAACTACTCAACCGATCATCATAAAATTTTGTACACTGTTGTCATTTAGCCAAATTTAAAATATAGGATAAATTTAATCTCGATTAGACCAGGGGGCGTGGCACCTCCCATAGAAACAGAATATTTCATACTGCATTTCTCAGGAAATATTTTTGATAGATTACTGGAACTTGGTGTGGAGATATATAAAATCATTATCTACTCATGGATGAGAGCAGCCACCTTTTAAAAAAATCAAATTCAACTGTAATTAAGGGAGTTATTTATTTTAAAATTATATTAAAAATGGATGTCAAGAAGCTTAAAAGCTGTAGTTCGAATATATTTTGAAAAGGGTTGCCACCTGTTTGAAAAGTCAAATTTAAATTAATTATATGCAAGCGATCTCAATAATAAAAATATGGTTGTCTAACGAAATATTGCTAAGAAAAGTTTAGTTTAAAAATTTAAATAATATTTTAGCCTTTCCCAAGGGTTGCCAACTTTTTAAAAATTAAATTCAATTATTACAAATTAAGTATTACAGTAAAAGGCGCGCAATGGCGTTTGATTTATCGGTGGTGATTTGAGATTTACCCCTGCACAACTCAACCCTGGTGTCTCGGAATGAAGCTTTAACGCATAATAATACTGGCAAATCACATCCACTGGGCCAATAGAAACACACAAAAGTTCGATATACTCATTGGTGCAACAGGTCGAATTAAAATGCCATCCACGGCCAGTGTTGCCGCGAATCATTTTTAGTGGTAGCCAAATTCCTTTAAAAAAGGGCTAAAAAAGAGCTAAAAAAGTCTTTGTGGCTAAAAATTTTAGCTAAAATTGTTTACTTACATATACATATAAAAGTATACACGTAAACATTTTCAATAAGTAATGGTATAGAAAAACAATGAACTCTTTAAAAAAGCAAATATTTTATCCAACCAAAACCTTTTTGTATAAAAGGGGAAATATACGACACCAGCATGCTGGCTCTATCAAGTGTTTGTGCCATCAGGCTCGAAACATATAACTTACCAGCATGCTGGTACAATATTTCTTTCGTTAGAACTGAGGTCGAGGAAAGATAGAAATAATTAAGAGCCGAAAATTCATAATTTTTCTATCATTTTGTTAAACATTGTTTTTTATTTTAATTCAAAACTGCAATATCGTGAACTTAATATTCCACAAACATGGCCTTGACTCATATAGTGCAAGAAATTTCCGCCAAAATATTTTTTACTTAGAAAATTGAGCTAATTTCACCACCCAGACAATCATAAAATTTTCAAATAGTTTTTGAAGTCGCACTAGCAGCTGGTACAATCACACCACAAGAACATACACGGTCAATCACCTTGATAAGCCATTTAACAAATTAACCATATTAAGGGCCAGTTTTTCAGTGCCCGGCCGTGGTTTACACTAAGTTTAAACGCCCGATCTGGCTGGTTTAAACTAAGATCAGCCAATCAAATGTCAGCCAGCTGTTCAATTTAGCGAGCGTAAATTAACTCAGTTTCCTTAATCTGAGTTTAAACTGGCACTGAACAGCTGGCCCTAAGGGCCGTAAACTTATCTATTTTAAACTATAGTTAAATCGTTAATAGATAAGTTAACAGGCCTAACACTTTTACAGTGTGTATGTATAAAAATGTAAGAAACCTACAATACATTTATGAATATACTAGCGGTACCCCGGTGTGCTTCTCTACACCAAATATTGAAAAATATTGAAAAATTAATGAAAAATCCTGCACGCCGTACTTCCTTTTGTTGGAAGTGCTCCTCAACATTTTGCGATCTTCTTTGCGTTAACATCATGTTCGCATGACGCGCACGTCGACCTATATTTTAACGACTGGCTCGTGGTGGATTTCTTGGACGCTGTGATTCTACAGCTGTATTCTGCGCATACCACTTCGTACTTCATTTTGTTGGGAGTGCTCCTCAACATTTTGCGATCTTCTTTGCGATAGCATCATGTTCGCAAGACGCGTACGTCGGCCTATATTTGAACGACTGGATCGTGGCATTTTATTCAATAGCGAACGAAAAACTCAATGAAATTCACAATCGACAGTAAAAGACCACTTGAAAAAACTTCATTCAAAGCCAAAGAACACAACACAGCCACAATTTTCCACAATGGTTTTGTTCACTATAAATCAATGAGGAAAAATACCTGCATGGAAAATTTCCAGTGTACTCAAACTTTTCGTACGATTCGCTGCAACAAATTTGTGCAAAAATATTGAAATTGACGAAAAAAAATAAAATGAAATATGAATTAAGAATATTAAACACACGTGTTGATTCTCCAAAGTCCAAAATAGAAAGACCGAATATCAATGTACACCACCTTTTCGATAATACGATGAAATGACAGATATGTTGTGTTCATTAGCGCACACAAGGGGTGGGTTTTGGGGTTCACACCCCCCCTAAAGCTAATAACCTCAAATACAATCTGTATCTTAAAGCTAAGAATCCAGCTCTCAAGGAAATTATAAGAAATATTTATTATAATTTCTGTTGCTTGAAAACGCGCTTTGCTTTTGCTGTAAATTTTCATGAGGGAATAAATATACAAGCATTTTTTTTTTTGAGAGCTGCAAACTGATTTAAGAAATTTTGCTAGAAGAAAATTTCTTTTCCATTTCTCGTCCGTCGTTTTATATGAATTTTTCGTTTTTCTTGAGAGTTCAGTTAATCTTTAATATCTAAAATTTAGCAATCGTGAAAAATCACCATATCTATCGAAAACCAGAAATCGAAAAAATGAACATAGAAGTGCAAAAATTCATGGAATCAATAAATTTATTTATACTGACCCTTTTTTAAAATTTTTTATTAGGTACTTTTGAAAGTTGAGCGCATCTTGAGTTTATAGAACTTTTTATTAAGCAAGTAGTTTTTAAGGAAAGAACACAAACCGACTTCAATTCTCATATTCAAATTTAGGGGTACCGTTAATTTCTTCATGATCCAATCATCGGATCTCTAAAACAAATTACGGGACCTTGAGGTACTATCTTTCTAATAAAAAAAGGATTATTGAAAACGGTTCACGTGGTCCAAAGTTATGTATTCCGGCGAGATGATAACCTCCCTTTTTTTTGAAGTCGGTTAAAAGCGTTTGAGTTCTGTTAATCTGTAAATAAAGTGCAGTTTATGAATTTTAAAACGTTTATTTATATATTACATAATAATAATAATAATAATATATTGGCGCTTACACATATGCTAGTGTTTGGCCGAGCTTCTCCTCCGATTTGTGGCGTGCGCCTTGATGTTGTCACACAAAGCGGAGGGACCTACAGTTTTACGCCGACTCCGAACGGCGATTGTATTTTTATGAGAAGCTGTTTTTCATGGCAGAAATACACTCGGAGGTTTGCCATTGCCTGCCGAGGGACGACCGCTGTTAAGAAAAAAAAACCGTTTCTATATTTTTTTGATGTTGCTTTGACTAGGGCTTGAAACCCAGGCATTGTGGAGTGGAAGCGCGCACTGCTTACCACTACACCACAGCGGCCGATATATTACATACTGTACATAAAACTTGCATAAATGTATTTTAAAGAGGGTATTATCTGAAGCAAATTTTCAGTATTTTCCGGTGATATATCTTCAGAAATATAAAACCCCCCTAAAATATATTCCTGGGTGCGCCCCTGGTTGTGTTGTGGTGACTTTCATTCCATTGGCTCTACAAAATCCCTATTGAAA